ATTATATTTGACATATTAATTAATTTAATAAGAATGTATTGGATATTCACTCTGCACAAGGGGCAGTGATAGGCCGTTAAATAAAGCAGGTCTTCGGGTCTTTAGGATAATCTATATGTTACCTGTTTCTCACCCCTCCTCCATACCCCTATCCCGAAATTAAAATATTTTAATGATAATTTATTAAACTTTTAAGATTCCCATTGAGAAAGCATAAATGATTATCATTCAGCTTGTTCTATTTAGAGGTTTGGTTTAAAGGGACCTTATAACTAAATGTCTGAATGATGTTAATTTCAAAGATGCTTTAAAGCACTTTTTTTTGGTATTCTATAGAGATGTGCAATTTATAATGAAAGTACACTGTCATGGAATCGTGTGTCCACTAGGGGTCACATTACACTTTTGTATTATTTGAAATATTTTTGCACTGTCAATGAAGCCTACTCCAAAGAAAGATTGGAGATAGGAAAAGTCCATTATTGCTTCCTGCAAAAATATAATTTAGAAAAAGAAAGAAAGAAACCTAAAATGGACTGTTATAGTAACTATCATACATCGTGATTTTATATTTGACAGCTTATTACTGTTTGTTAGAAAATTGGTTTGTATTATTGAGTTAACAATGAGATTTTGATATGCAAGTTAGAAATAGGAACTTCTTATTCCCAGCCACAGAATAATTTGAACTTCTTGAAATTATTTTGAATGATTATATGTAGGTGTAGTCATGCATGCTTTTCTCATGTGTATTATCTATTTTTATTAGTAAGAGTGGATTTGGAGTACTGCCTACCTGAAGAATGACCTACTCAAGTGTCTTAGTCTGTTTTGTGTTGCTATAAAGGCATAAGCGAGACTGGGTAATTTATACAGAAAAAAAGGTTTATTTGGCTCACAATTCTGCTGGCTGGAAGACTGGGCATCTAGTGAAAGCCTCAGGCTGCGGCAAAGGAGAGCTGCAGAGGTCACATGGGGAGAGAGGAAGCAAGAGATAGAGAGGGAAGGTGCCAGGCTCTGTTTAACAACCAGCTCTGGTGGGACTAACGAGAGTGGGAACTCACTCACCCCTCCCACCCAGGGAAGGCATGATTAATCTGTTCTTGAGGGATCTACCCCCCATTACCCAAATGCCTCCCATTAGGCCCTGCCTCCAGCAGAGGGGATCAAATTTCAACAAGAGATTTGGGGGGTAAACATCCAAACTATAACACCAAGTTACTTGAATTCTCTGGGCTTTCTGTTTTTAAATATGTAAAGTGTGAATAATAGCTATGGCAGTGTTATGGTGAGTCGTAACATTTAAGTGAAAGTTCTATGCAAATGACAAAATGAGTTATCAGATAACTGCTATTGTTAAGGTACATTCTGGGAAAAGTAAAGAAATCTTTAAATTTCTACCCTTTTTCTGATAGAAAAGATTATTACTTTATATTTACTTCTCTGAAATAGCCATTG